GCATTATGGGATTTGCTGGGCCGGGAAGGGTCCATCAGACCTGTCCTTCGATTCGGGCCAAAGGAAGGACGTATTTGTCGGACGCATCGGAGGAGTCTTCCGTTTTGGACGTCCTTCGTCGCGGCGCTGTGACGTATGCAGCCGACAAATTCGACCTTCGGAGGACCCGTCCTGCCGTTTTGGACACAGCCTTAGAGCTTCATCTTGTCCTCAGAGGAAGTTCCTGCAGGACGACCGGCTCACCGCTGACCTTCAAACCCTCAAACTTTATTGTCCTGATTGCAGTGGACAACAAGAGGGACAGGACACCTCTGAATGACCCAACTGTCCCCAGCTCGGTGCATTGATCCGACTGCTTTTTACTAAATTACTTTTTGTTTGGAGAAATAATAAAATATCAGTTCAGGGTAAAATATTCTGATGTTTGACCATCTTCATGTTGACAAACAATTCATTTGGTTCCAACAGACAATAATGTTGGATCAAAATCTGAGTTCTGTTTTCAACAGATTGTACCCTTCCTCCTCCTCCTCCTCCTCCTCCTCCTCCTCACCTTCTATGGGCCTGGGGACGAAGTGTGAGCAGGGTTTGGTTTTCTTCACTCGGTTCCCCTTCATGATGATTCCTTCCTTGTTGAGACCCAGGAACCAGGCCCGACCCGACTCGTGCTGCCGGTACAGCGTGGACGAGTAGATGACGTAGTAGTTCTCGAACACGGACTCCTTAAACTTACACTCTGATGTGAAAACATCCTGACACACAGAAGACAGCTCAGTTATTTCAGCAGACAACGACAGGAGACAAACAGGCTTTGGAGGTTTTTAGGGATAATCTGCAGAGAAGATGASAGATTACAGCTTCTTTGTTTCACTGCTGTGAAAAACAAAGAATAAAGTGTGTCCAGGTCGACATGCAGGTGTACGTCAGCTCTGCTGCAGGACCTAAATCACTGCACAGGTCAAAGGTCACAAACCCAAACCAGAGAATTGTTCTTGAACAGAACCGGACACAGTTTAGGGTTGAGGTCAGATTATTTTCAGATGTAGAAATGAGCTGCAGCATGCTGAAACCTGTTCCTGTCTGGTTCTGTTGGCCTGGTTCTGCTGCAGCCCAGCTGGACTCTGCAGGAACCTGATTTCACCACCCTCAGGGTCTTACAGGACCCTCTGTCTGCACAGAGCAGGTGTGTGTTTGAGCCCTTTAAACAGAACCGGTGCTCAAAGTGAGCCCATCAGAGCAGAACCGCCCCCAGAACCAAAGGAGGAGGACCTGTTCCCCTGTTTTCAGAGCAAACCCTTGTTCAGTTTGGTTGTGTAGCTGCACCTTTGTTCATTAAACACTTCTGTTTGGAGAGCAGAAGGTTTCAGCAGGTTCTGTGTTTCCATCAGTTGGACCCATCAGAACACAAACAACTTCCTGTTGTGGACTTTCTTACCGATGTGTAGAGGAACCCCTCGGCGTTCATGGCCACGTAGAGTCCCACCTTCACCCCCTGGATGGCCACGACCCTCAGACCCACAGGGATCAGGTTAAASAGAGCTGCAAAACGGGTCAAACAGAACCAGGTCAGACTCCCTCACAAACACAGACAAARATTCTGATCTTTGTTTTAAAGGTTTACTCTCAGTTTAGACTGAACATTTCTAACAAATTAACACAAAAACACATTTTTAACATTCTGCTCAGGTTTGATAATCAGGAGTTTTTATTTCTGTTTTTAGTTTCACTTTCAGAGTCAAATAAAACTAAACTTTATTTTAAGCTCGTTTCAGAAATAATCTTCAACATTTCAGAGTTTTTATTTTTTCTATGAAACAAGTAAAACATGAGGAAACTGTTTCTGTTCGTCTGATTCTCTGAAAGAAAGGGAAGAGTTTGAAGACAGAAGAGTTTTTAACACACATCCAGACCTGGAAAACAGCCATTCAAGGGTTTTCCAGGTTTTTCCAGGTTTTTCCAGGTCCCGTAGGAGGCCTGCAGTAAAGGAAGCAACATGCTGCTGCTAAACGGAGAGAAAAGACCTGAATCTGAGGAGCTGGAGTGATGAGAGGTGATTTAATCCACCGGGACAGAGAGCTGCAGTGAGGAGGAGGAGGAGGAGGAGGAGG